CAGGAAAGTTCTCTTCTACCCATCTCATAACTTATCAAAATAGAGTTTTGGCAGCCTGGCCTTTGTAGTGTTTTAACTCTCTCACTGACCTCTTGCCTCTGGCTAACTTTTTTTCCAAGCAGTGATGGCTTGAAGACTGTGAGATAAGTGAAGACTTCTGAATGGCAGAGTTCACTTGAGATTGGTTATGTACAAGTTGGGATTTCTAGGCTGCAGACGTAAAGAATAAGCTTCGTCACTGTAGTAAGAGGATTTCCACAGTAGAGACAGTGTGTTTCAATGCTATCTGTGACTTTACCACTATTTATTTTTGTGTTTGATTAGCTGTGCAGATGATGCCAGGTCTCTGTTATGAATATGTGGATTTACTGCTTACTCCTTTAGATCCCTGTTTTGTGAAACATAAGAAAGAACAACATTTATTTGCAAATTCTTCATGCAGCTAGTCCAGCCAGGAGTATCTAGCCACAACTTTGTCCAATCTACACATAAGTTCATTAGCTGTTTTGGTGTAAAGGCTTCTGGGGCTGTATGCTGCCAGCACTGATCAGAGAGTGGCTTGTGCAGATGCATCATTTTCTGTTAGAATACAGTTGAAGGGTATATGGTCCAGTACCAGATCTGGAGGTTGGCAGCCCTGCCTGTGGCAGGGGCGTTGGAACTTGATAATCTTTGGTGTCTCTTCCAAACCCAAGCCATTCTATGATTCTATGGTATATTGCCAACAGTGCTTCAAAACATGCAGATTTCCTGAGGCTGCACTGCAATCGTTGTGTTGTGCGCTGTATACCTTTACATAACAGTTGTTTGAACCAAAAGATTTAACAGATTTGAGCAACTCATAACTACGTTCCACTTCTTGTTTCTTCTTCTTGGAATGAGAAGGTGTAATCTGCTGTCATTTGCTTTTAAAAAATAAAGTATCTAGTAAGTAATTCAGGTTTTCTGTACCTTTTGCATTATGTGGTAGCTAACAAGTAACAGTGTAGATATTGAGCCTTTATACTGTCACAATCACCTGCCCTTTTTTTCCAGTTGTTTCCTCCTGCTTTGCTGTCTGATTCCAATCAATGAGATGGATGGGGCCCTGGCAGCCTGGTCTAGCATTAGGTGGAATGGTTGGTGGCCCTGCGTGTGGCAGGGGGGTTGGAGATTCATGATCCTTGAGGTCCCTTCCAACCCTGGCAATTCTGTGATTCTGTGATTTTATTCTGAATTCTTTGATGATAAACCGTATGTGTCACGATTTGATAACATTAACATCTTTAGAGAAAAACCTGTAATCCCAGGTTACACTTCATTGGTGTGTAACAATGGTATCTTCAGTGTCTGTTTTGCCTTCATATGATTAATGGTTTAGCATAGCCTGCACTGCAGTGATTTCTTGGCTGTTTCATGAATATTTGTATAAGGGATATCAATATCACAAGGTAAGCATACTAATTTAAGAAGGAACCCCTTGAGCCTTCAATCTAGATACTTGGACTTGGTCAGAGGATGATATTTTTAGTTCATTTTGTCAGTAGCTATGATGGTCTCAAAGTAGCATGTTCTGCAAAAAGTGTGCTGCAAGACACTGGAGGCAAATGTTGGAGCTGTCCAGGTTGGTCAGCTATTTCATTGTAACATGGACTCGAAAAGTACAGTGCTTGCCTCCCACTGAAAATAGCAGCTGAACTTTTCATATTTCAGTTTTTGTATCTTACATATGAACTTATTCTACTGCCTTCAGAGATGAAGTGAGGACTTGCATGCTTTTGGTGTCTCAGTTATTTTTCTTTGCTGTCATAGGTAAGTCATTACAGAGTTTTGAATAAGGACTAAACATTTGAGTTTGCACAGAAATTCTGCCATTTACAGGCAAATCCCTTTATAAAGTTCAGAAATAAAATGGAAATGTGTTAAGACCAGTTTTTCCCACCTAAGCATGTGAAACTTCTTCATGCATTCAAAAGAGATACTGATTAGATATCGTCCTAGATCTGAATTTTCCTTAAGTGACACAAATGCTGATCTTGCAAGACAGCAAAATATGGATTCAATTTCATAAATTCTCTGAATTTCAGCAGGAACATATTAATGTTTCAGTTTTACTTAATCTGCAGCTTTTCTCTGTCATTTCAACTCTTCACCTTTTAAAAATTGATACCATCAATTGCACAAGGAAGTTGAAAGAACTAAATAATATATGAGGTTACAAAACACTGTGTAAATAATTAATACCATTCAGATTCTTATTAGCAGTGCTACCATTAGTTCTGTGCAGGCTGGAAGGCTTCTAATGTAACTACAAAAACCTTAATGTATTTTGACTATGTGCTTTAATTGCAGAAAGCTAAGTTCTTACCCTCAATTTAAAATAAATAAGAAAAAAAGTGTTTCGTTCATTCAGAACTGTAGCTGAATGGTAGAAAGAAGTGCAACATATGTTCTTCAACACCATTACCAAATAAAGATGAAAACTGTTCACTTGTGAGTCCAGCATCAGTGATAGAGCACATCCAATGTTCATTCTATTTAAATCAGGTCAAGTAAATCCAACACAAATATTATTCAAAAGGTGTGACACAGAGGCTCTTCCTATTTACTCCTCCTTATTTGCCATCTTCCCACCAGCAAGGTTCCTCAGGAATATTCTGCCATTGTTCATTACATTTGAATCTTCATCTTGTACTTCTTTTTGTCATTGTGCTTTCTGACTCTGTGTGTCCCTCACTGCACTGTGGGATGACCTGCAATGCTTGTGAGATCTGTGTCTCTCTGAAGCTCAGGTGAATTCACTGTGCTGGCAGTGCAGCAGCAGAATTCTTCAGAGAGAAGTGGTGATGCTCCTGAGGCCTGAGGGAAGGTCTTAATTACTTTTTGACACTGATACAATAAGAGACTATGGAGGTGAATCTGTGGAAAAAGCAGATGTTTGGATTTTAGAGACTTAATCAACATAACACTTCTGTAGAGATGCAGCTATCTAAAAAATGAGCGTTTCCCCATGTTCAGCTCCTTAAAAACATCACTGATTATATCCTCCTCAGAACAATAAAAGGGCAATTGCTTTAAGTATTGAAATACGTCATGATTCCCATTTTAACAACAAAACAGCCGCTGTATTTTTGATAGGATCAGATAAGTGCATATCACGGTGGGCTCTTTGTGTTCCTTTTGGCCTGTGTGACAGTGATGCACACTGGAGGTGCTTCCAGAGTCCTTACCAGGACATGCAGAATGGCATGCACTGCTCTTGCCATGTTCCTGGACACCCAAGGGCAATTGAGCCCCAGTCACCTTGCTTTTCTTACTGCTGTTTGGAATAGGCAGGCACATCTTCCACTGTTGTACTCAGTGTGTTTGTTGTCTGCTGGAAGGCTCTGGCTGGAGCCTCCTGGCGTACTTACGGTGTAGCCATCAGTGATGCTGTCTAAGCTGACATAAAGCAGCACAGGCCCTGCTGTGAATGAGATTATGTACCAGAACTTGGCAATCAAACAGGTTTTTGCAATATAACTGTCTTGTAGAGTTAAGTACATTTGTTTTCCTGTGCGTGGAATTGTTTTTCTCAAAGGCTACATCCATTGTGTTTTGATTAAATTACATACTAGAACTGTAAGTAATATAATTTCAGTGCCTGGTTCCTGCTAGTTTAGAATTCCTCATTCTCTTGGGATATTTTGAATTTCCTAATTTAAGTGTATAAAGATTTGGCATTTCCACCTCTTACTTTAAAGTTCAGCAAAACATCTTGTGTTAGAAACAGGACAGAAAGGAAACTGCAAAGGGCACATATTTGTCTACTTCTCTAAATGGGAGGAGATACAAATTATGTTCTTTGGGCACTTTTGCAATTCATTTTAAAGTTTTTAGAAGACCAAAGGGAAAAAAAAAAATTCATACAGTCTTTTTTTAGCATCTGAGCCTGTCATTGTATCATTAATTCCCACTGTTTTCCTTGCAAAACAAATATTTCACCAGTCTCATGATTATGTTGTAATTTGTTTAGCTTAAGTAACTGAAGGATTATTAAAATGTATTGGTTTATAAATTATGTGGACTGGTAGCTCGTTTATATAATCTGTCATTACCGCTCGAGTAAACTGCAATTAGATTTACAGATACAAAGTAGTTAAAAATGCTAGAGCTTTCAAAATACTTAAATCATTTTTTAATCATATGCCCACTGCTGGTGTTCTGGCAGTGGAAAAAAAATACAGGTTCATTAGGGCTGGGTAATTTATAATAGTAAATAAGATAATTTATGATAGTAAATATATAATTTAAAAGTAAAACTGGACATGTTCCCCACAAGTCCTAAAACCATATATTTACTCTAACAGTAAAGGTTTGTTTGATTAGTTGCTAAACTTTTTGGATTATTTGGCAGTAATTAAGGCAGAATGTATTATTTCTACTCAGAACCATGTCATATGGAATTATGCTTCTGTTCTGCTTAGTTTGGCCCAGCTCAGGAACCCCAAGGCTAGGCAAAATGCTTTAGCAATGCCTTCTCAAATGCGAAGCCTTCTCTAATATGTGAATTTCTGTACAGAAGATGTAGAACTGTTGTGATTCTTTGGTCATCGGCCTGGTGCGTGTGTGACGAGGGCATTGGTTTTCTTTTTCTTTTTGAGGCCTGTTTTCTTACTACTTAACAGATCGGTCCTGACTACAGACGTGTTTGCTGTTCTGTTCAAATGCAGATGATAGCTGCCATATTTCTGTACGCCTGTGGCCAAGTGATAGCTGCCATTAACTGGTATTATCAAGGCTTTGTAAAGCTTTTCTCTCTTGAAATAGCATTACCTTATTTGTCATTACCACAATGCAGTTTCTCACTTCTTCCAACTGCTAAAGATTTCTAAATTGATTTTGATAACAAAAAAACCCTACAACAACTGTCTTTGCAATGTAATTTTCTGTGCCTATATCCCAGTGCACTTAATATGAGAACTCATTTGTGAAAAACAAGCAAGCAGATGTGAGCAGCCTGTGTATCTTGGGTTTTTCAGGTGGGGAAATGGGAGAACAACTCACTGAGCCTGAAGTACTCTGTCTGGCCAAGGTACAGTTCCTTTGCAGACAGTGATCCAGATGATAACCACCTGAGTATTGTCACCCTGGAGGAGGCTCCCTTTGTCATCGTTGAAGATGTGGATCCTTTGATGGAAAGCTGCCAAAAAAACACTGTGCCATGTCGTAAATTTGTCAAAATTAAGTAAGTAAATCATTCCATTTTTTAAAAGTACAAAAGATGCACCCCCATTTTCTTTCTTTACTTTCCCTTATTTCTTTTGTTGTGTATATTTTTTTGATAGTTTGCTATTTTTTCTCTTGCTTTTCATTCCATATTTATCTTCCTCTTTCTCCCTTTCACATACAGTGTGCTTCCTTTTTAATAAGCTGGAAGGTTCTAGTTATAAACTTGTAAGTAACATTGAATTAATTACAAGATAATCAGTTTATAGCAAATTTGAATTGAACTAGAACTAGCCCTTCTCAGTCTCATGAAAGAAGAGAGTGTATCTAAAATTGCACTAATTTAATGAGTCCTCTTTGAATTGTTTCCTGTTATGTTGAAATGTGCCCACTTGAATAACTTTAATTAGATTACAGCTTGGGAATTCCTTTTATTGAAAATAGCATCTTTATGCTTAAGTTTGGTACAGGAGAAACTACTCCAGAATAAAATACTGCTATGACAAAGAAAAGTCCCCTGCTGTGATTGCTCCAATTTTGGAGCAATTCTTAAAAATTGGTGAAACATCTATCACTGTGTAATTGCCAGTGCTTCTTCACCCAATCTGTGCTTCAGTCTTTGTATTTCTGGAATTAATATAATAACATTTTTTCATTGAATAGGTGCTAGGAGATTTAGTTAATATTTTGAAGATTTCTAGAAATTGCTCAGTAGTTCCTGAGGTCCAGAAAAATATTTTGTTTACCTAATTGAGATCTGAATTTCTTCAAAGCCAGTAAAGTATTGCCTTGACCTCTGAGGAAACTCAGACTGAAAAGTGCTAGAGGCTGTAGAGCTTTTCTAAAAAAGAACAGAAAGAAAATCCTTATCTAAGATCTATATGGCTGATCTCAGTTTGAGGCTCTAGTTTACCTGTTGGTAGGGCTTGTCTGACCTTCCTGAGTGGTCTTGGCATCCCAAGGTAGCTGAAAGTCACTTTCTTAAACGGCAGCAAAATGTGCAGCATCCACTTTCAGTACTGAGAACTGCTGCACCTTTATTCAGCTTACATGATGGGCAGTTCTGTAATTACTAAATTGTCTTGAGAGTAAAAAAAGACTTAACCTAAACTGAAGAGACATCACTGAGTGGGGACTGTGATGCAGTCCAGCAGGCCACACACTACAGCAGGAAGCACACCAGTATCTTCTCCTTAGCTCTTGTCAGGCCACTCCAGTGTGATTAGGATGAGCTGCAAGCACTGTATAAAGCATTCTATTGTTTATTTCTCCAACACTTCAGAAAAACGTGGTCACGCAGAAATAGGAAAAGTGTTGTTTTACATCATGCTGAATCTTGCTTTTGTGGTGGTTCTTTTTCTCCCAGAAGAAATGTTTATGTCTCTCTTTTTTGACAGCAACTCAACTAATGAGGGAACTAATGTAAAGAAGTGCTGCAAAGGATTCTGCATTGATATCTTGAAGAAGTTGTCTAAAACTGTCAAGTTCACATACGACCTGTACTTGGTGACTAATGGGAAGCATGGCAAAAAAGTCAATAATGTGTGGAATGGAATGATTGGTGAAGTAAGTTCTGTTAGGTAAAAGAGCTCTTGAGTGAGATCTTAGCAATGTTTGTTTTTAACTCATTTGGAGAAACAAGGTATTCTCTACTGAGTAATGTTGGTGGTGTCTTCTCTTTGTGGATCAGGTGGTTTATCATCGTGCAGTTATGGCTGTGGGGTCTCTCACTATTAATGAAGAGCGCTCTGAAGTGGTTGACTTTTCAGTGCCATTTGTTGAGACTGGGATTAGTGTCATGGTGTCACGGAGCAATGGCACAGTTTCACCATCTGCTTTTCTAGGTATGATTCTCTAACCCCTCCAGATCATTTAATTGCATTTCTGTAGAGTGGGATAGGTTTCACTGTTTGTTAAGCTAAATAATATTGACATGTTTCATCAATTTTTGAGTTATGCGTTAAGAAGTTTGCATGGTATTGACAAACTTGATTAATGTGGTTATTGGCACATGAATGCCGTTGGATTCAGATGCAGTAATGGGAAACCAAATGACAATGATTTCCTTCAGAAAAGCTGCATTACACACTAAAATATGCTTGTTTAGCCCATAATAAATTGTTGGTGTTTTTTTTTTAACAGTCATATTTATGAAATGATTTTAAAACCCCTTGTAGAAAAGTGTAGAAGAGAAGACTTTGTTATGACTAGAATAGATCTGACAGCTAAACTGGCAACAGATATGTCTGAAAGCCATACTGCTACTGTGTTCTGTCAGATTTCCTCATACCTGTTTTTTTCTGATGTGGGTGTCCCCTGCGTATAAGAATTTTATCAATGTTAAAACATCTTCATATATCACTACAATTCATATATACTACTTCCTGTAGAGATTTTATTCAAATTTTATTCAAGCAAAGTAAGGAAAAACCTAAATCCATATTTCTATATGTTTAAGAGAGTGAGTTTATAGTTGAGGCCACACGTCCATTTTGGAAAAACTGGTAGAATAGGAAATCTATGGACCTGTTTGTTTTTTTTTGTTGTTTGTGTGTTTGTTTGTTTTTTATGTATTGTGTGTGTATTTGTTATGTTTTTTTTGGTGTGTGAGGGTAAAACTTGAAGTTAGTGGAGTAATCCATCCTTTTCATTGCTCAGTGTTCTCCATTGCCAATCTTCTGAACTGTACTCTAACAAGGCATATACTACCGTTTTGTTTTTTTTTACTCTATTGAAAAATCTTATGAAACCAGCTGCTTACTGGGGATGTTCTTTCTGTCCTTTGAGAATGAAATAAAAGTGCAGAATGCATAATTCGATCTATAATATCACAGGAAGATCAACTTTATTATTCAATTGATTTTGTACTTGTTCAAACTTACTACTTGTTATTATAAATAGCTTTTTATTTTGCTGTTGCTTCTTTTAATCCTCCGTCTCATTACCAATCTGCTTAAATTATTAAAGAGCATTCTGCCTAAACAGTTGTTTATAGCTTGCTGTTTCAAATCGACTTGCTTTGCTCTTCGCCTCAGTTAAATTTTGACAAATTACCATTGGTGTTTCTACACTGTTGCTTTTGATAAGAGTTTCATTAGGCTTGCTTGCTTCTTTGAGGATGATGTCAATATTGAACGATAACTTTATGTGAATTCCAATTAATTCCAATTAATATATGAACTCACAGAATATTTCTTAGTAAGTGTATTTGGGTCTACTTATTGGTTTCTGAAAGGATTGCTCTCTTCCTTTTAAGCATTGTTATTTTGCCAACTCGATATTCTCTTCCAAAAAATTTCTGTAATAATTGAAAGAATTTCATAATCTGTGTTTACAATATAATAAATGAAATACATTTCTTAAAATTGGAAAGAAAACAGTATAGTTTAATAATTCCCTGTTTTGTCTTATTAGTTCAGATCCAAAAAATTTTCAAACGTTAAATTCAACGAATGAAGAAGTTTGGATGGAAGACCTTGAGCTTCCAAAAAAAAGCAGAGCATGGGTGCAGATTCATTTGTTGTCACATCCTGTGCTTCTTGGTTCTGTTCTAGTCTGAAGATTTCTTTCTCACACTTTAGAGCGCATTCGCACTTCCAATATTTACTAAAATTAGCATATAATATACCCCCAAATAAACTGACCGAATAGAGAGATTACTTTGACTTACAAAACCTTTATTGCCTGCATCATTATACCTTAATGACTAAAACAGAAACTTCTTAAATGACAGAGAATTTTTGATTAGGCAAAGGTGCTATTGATGATATTTAAGAACGCTGTGTTATCACATGGCATTAACAATCCCTTCAGAAAGTTGGTGCTTATTCTGTACTTGAAACTGCTTTTAGTTTTCCATTCTAAACTACTTTAACTTAATCATGTTTGTTGTTTTTTTCTCTTTTTCTGACGTTCAGTTTTCCATAGAAAGCTTTTGATTTCAGAAATTTGCTCCCAGATGAGAGCGAGACTTGCAAAAGGATGTGTTTGGTATCGGTAGAAACAACATCTTCATTAGAGGTAGATGAAAGTGAACAGAAGAAAAAAAAATCTGAAACATAAGATATGCTTTGGATGGAAACATTTGGCTTTTGTCCCTAATGCTTTGTGTTGGATAGAAAATGAGAAAGGTGTACTTCTCTGAAACATCAAACGTCTTATGTGTATGCTTAATTGCTCTTGCTCTGCAGAAATACAGTCATAATGATGGGACCGTTTTGTTGATAAAAGGATACACCATAGGATAAACAGAAATGAGTTGTAAACGGAATAAGCAGCGAGTCAAGCCAAGAATTTGCCACTCAGTGTCAGTTAAGGCTTTGTTGAAGAAGTGAATTACACTGCTTTTGTATTTGAGTGGCAACTTACACTTCTGATTTTGAATATGTGAAGATTGCATATAGCAATAGCAGTTCCTTATATATTGCTGCTTGTTTATCTGCTAGCATTTTGGTTGAAACAGCTAATTTAAAGAAAACCAATGGGCTTGCCTAGCCCTAAGACATTGGAATTCTTGTGATGTGACTGGTTTAATGAACTGTTTCTGTTTCTCTTGTCACCTTTGCTGCAGAACCTTTTAGTGCTTCTGTCTGGGTGATGATGTTTGTGATGCTTCTCATTGTGTCTGCCATGGCTGTATTTATATTTGAGTACTTCAGTCCTGTAGGATACAACAGGAACTTAGCACAAGGGAGAGGTAAGCTTTGCATTTTACACAACCCTACAGCCAGCAGAAGAGTATTCATGTATTTACCATCCCTTGCCCTCCATTTTTAAAAATAACAGTAATAAAGCAGTAAAGGCAGCCATGAAGATTTTCATTTAAAATGTGATTTTGTGGTGGGATCACATTCTAATTCACTGCAATAAAGACATGTAATGGTGTTGTTAAAAGCAGTTATATTCAGGCAGTGTTTGGTTAGTATACTGTATCAGTTGAACTGTCAGCTTAAAAGAACGCTGGAATAAACTCTACGGACTCCTGACTTATGAATTCAGAGATAGTTCAGAGATAATGATCTAAAATGATGTAATTTGTTGTGCAAGCTGGAGAAGTAGCTGTTAGCTTGTATATAGTTTTATATAGTCCCTATAAAAAGGTATAGTTCTCTTGTGGTGAACTCAGCCTTGAAATGAGCCCAGTGGCAAGAGAGCATAATTTCTCACTGTGTTGCATCCTTGGCCAAAGAAAGTTAATTTTCAAAATATACTGGCAAAACAAATTAGATACAGAACATGACTTCTTGATGAAAGCTGCAGTTGTATAATAGCACTGGCCTGAGAATGAGGATTTCATGTACTGTGGAAGCCTCCCCTTTCTTCATTTTCAGTTCAGAATGTGGACTGTTTTTAATTTCTAAATCATTGTCACTTCACTTTATAGCAAGCAATCTCCCAGCTTGGTGAATGTAATCCTAGAGACTGTGACCAGCTAATGGCTTCTTGCAGTTTGTGATTGGTTTGCTCCTTGAACAAGGAGTTCACTGTAATATTCAGATGATGTTATCATTTCAATAAGATGGTACGTTTGTAACCTATGTCCAAAATAAACACTGTGTTTAGGAAGGGGAAATTAAAGGTTTGTAGAGATGCTGGGGATCTGCAGGCTGGGTTGTTCTTTTCTCTGTCACCTTGTGTGCCAGAATTGATTATATAGTGGCTAGAAATTCATAGTGTAGCACTGCACCATTCTAACAGCTCCTAGAGGCCTGCCACAAATCCAGTTGCCATTTGTTTGAAACATGGAGAGCTTAAAATCAATGGGAGTCTTTAAGTATATTACTCCCTTTCCTACCTGTTTTCATCAGGCAGACGCTCAATGGCACTACACTCTTCAGTAACATAAAAAGAACTTTAGACTGCTTTCTTCACATATACTTTCCTTACCATTTCTGCTCAGAAAATACAACTGTTCAACAGCTTAATCTTATATGGCCCTATAAGGTAGTTTTATAAACCAATGGCTGGCTCCATTACGTTTATTTTACTACAGTCTAACTTAGCAATGCAGCAAAAAAGAGGAAATCTAAAAAGTTCTTGATTGTATCATGAAAGTTTGCATTGTAATACATTTCTACTGAAATGATGACATGCACTTTGGGCTTTATTTGTTTAATAATAATTAAATTATTGGAGGTGTCTGCATTGTACTAATCTAAAGCTGGTTATGAGGATAGAAAAGTGGTCAAATATTTTTCTAACATTTGTGGACATATGTGTAATTACAATGCAGAATACCAATGATAAATCCTGTGATTCCATTGGGAGGACTACGAATATGTATTAAAATATTTTAACCATGTCTTTATTAGTACATTTTGTTATGTGGGGTATCTTACCACGATTTAATATAATTGCAACTAAAACTATTACTCTTTGCAATTATAGATCCCCATGGACCATCCTTCACCATTGGAAAGGCAGTGTGGTTACTCTGGGGCTTGGTATTCAACAACTCCGTGCCTGTGCAAAACCCCAAAGGGACAACCAGTAAAATTATGGTGTCAGTTTGGGCTTTCTTTGCTGTCATCTTCCTGGCTAGTTATACTGCCAACTTAGCTGCATTTATGATTCAAGAGGAGTTTGTTGACCAAGTGACTGGACTGAGTGATAAAAAGGTAGGTCTTCTGCCTTAAAAGACATTAATGTCTATTCTTCATAATCCATCTACAAATTTGTACTTTGTACTAAAAAAAACTCTGAGCAAGATAATCAGTTGGAACTGTATTATTTCTTTCTGAGTTAAAAACTCAAAGCATGAAAATATCTGACTGATTTCAAAGTCTTTGTATTGCCTTTTCAAAAGTAACTGCATTAATTAAAAGTACATTAATTTTGTGATGGAAATCAATTCTTGTTAGATTAAATGTGATGCCTCACCACCCTATAAAAGCTTGGAAAAAAAAAAAAGCAGATAAATCAGCTTGAATGCATGGAAGACATTTGAAATGATTTAAACATCTCTGTGTAGAATGTTAATAGTTTATTAATTGACAAAATATTCATAAAACCAGTAACTATCCAGTTATTATCTAAAAAAAAAGTCAATGCTCTTGGAAAAAAAGTCTTTCTGATTTTTGTATAGCGCGTGGATGAAAGTCCAGATTTAGAGTGACACTAGCATAGGCAAAGAGAAACATTAACAATCCACATAAGTTTTCTGTAGACATTTGAATATTTTTCTTGTATAAAGTGGAAAGAGTAAAGTTGAGATATTACCTGGAATAAGCCACATAAATTGAATGTGGACTTGGCTTTCTTGGATTCAGGAATTTCTGTGAGACTTTGATTCTGCAGTGGAGAATTGCAGATAAGTTGTAGATAAATGACAGCTCATATAAGCTCTTCTAAAGTTTCACACAAATTGACAAATAATAAGCATACTTATTTTTCATATTTTTCTATTGACTGAATTTTCTTCTGCTGAAATTATATACAAGCTCTTTGAACTTGAATTTTTCATCAACTGTCTTATAAACCAGAGACCTAGCAATTATTTATTTGTTGTTTAATTTGAGTGACTGTTTTGTAGTATGACTGCACAGGGGGTTGAAGTCCATTTACAAAATTACTGTTGTAAAGGATATGCACAAAGCACATAAAGGGCACACCGTTGTCAAATTTCTGCCCAGTTGTTCTTTAATGAAACTAAATATTGACATTGAGAAGTAATATTTCAACAGAGTGTTGAGAAGGGAGAACTTCACAAGGGATTTATTTCAAAGGACAGAAAATAAAAGAAATTGTTATTAAAAAGAAACAGTTCAGATGACTCACATGTTTACTGATTTAACGGTTCTCAATGACTGGCCTTTGAGTGATCTGAGTTATCAAAGCATGTCTTGCAAGCATGGCTAGGGAGAAAACGGATAAAAGGAAACAAAACAAAAAAAACTTTGAAAAAACAAGCAAAACCTTTGAAAGAATATGAATAGAAACACCTCTATTTAAAGACAGTATATTTAGTAAGAGATAGCTAAAAGATTTTCTCCTCTTGCAGATTAAAAAGATAGATCTAAAACATCCTTTGTCCTGTTTCTGATGAAATAGTGTTTTCCAGGGAAATTCTATTTGGGCAGGATTTAGCTTCCACGTGGCACCATGCTGTTGTTCAGCCCTACCAACACACTGCTGCCTTCCTCTGCCCCAACTTGTGCTGAGTGCCCTCTTACCTATGGGCTGGGAAAGTCTCTGTATTTGTTCTGTATTTGTTCTGTTCACTGACTAACAACTTCTTTATTTTTGTCATTTTTCTGTTCTCTCTACTAAGTGAGATCTTATTTCTACAAAAAAAAAAAAAAAAAAAAAAGGAAAAACACTTGAATCAGAAAATAACATCTACGCATGTGCAGATTATTTATTCTGATCTGCTTTTTTTTTTTTTTTTCAAATTTAAATTTTATTTATAGTGCTTCAAATCCTGCCTGAAACATACAGAGATATATCAGGTGGTGCTTTACCTTTTCTGATTAAATTAGTTAAACAAGCGAGAAATCCACTAAGGAAAAAATGTATTTAAAATGTTCTCCTTCTCGTGCACAGGTTTTGGTTCTCTACAAGCTTGAGCTTTCTCAGATTTTCAAAATTTGAATAATTAGCAGTAATTTATGGGTGTATGTAATATGATACAGATTAAATTATTTTACTCTTGTCTTTGCCTTGTTTTTGTAATATCATTAGCAGTGGAACAGTTCAGGAAAACTCTGACCCTTGCTGCAAACCAAGCTGTCCCAGGCAAAAGCCAGTGTGAAGAGACAGGATTGCATATGAGTAAAATTAATTTTTAATTAGTAACATCTGGAAATTCACCAATTTCGATGGCAAATTTCAATATAAAAAAATAGCCAGAGACCTAAGTAATTGTAGTGGCTGAGCATAATTTTAATCCCTAAACCTAAAGATGCCTTTCCTATCTGTGTTAGTTGAATTGGCCTTCGCTAACTTGTGTGTGGTTGGGAAATTGGTTCGTTATTCTTCTACTTTCCTCTTTTTCTTACTTCCACAACTGAAAAGTCGTGCTCTTTTTTCAGTGCTGTCAAGCAATAAATCATTCCCAATCAGAGCTTCGGGCATTTCTCAATACTCCATACCTGACAGATAATAGAGAAGTAAGGAGAATAAGTATCTCTGAGCAGTCACTCCGACAGCCAGCATTAAGTAACTTCCATCCCAGGAGTGTGTTACACCAACATCCATTCCTTGGTTTTGCTGAACACAACAACATGCTGTTTACCTTTCTTGGCTTTAAGACCTCTTGATTAAACTATCATCCTTCATAATGTCGCTAATAAACTCCTGAGTGCTGTGTCAGCTGCGTGTCACCCAGAAATACATGGCACAGCATGTACTGGAGTTACTGGAGGTGGGTGTTCATAAACTCAAATGATTTAGAAGATGAGAGGAAAATTGTTTTGACATCTTTGTATATGTAAAAGATTTCTAAAAGCTTTGTGTTCATAAAAAGGTACAGAAAACGAGTCCAAAAGTATCCATTGAAGCTGGCTCTCATAGCACTTGCTACTTTTGAGGCCATTTATACCTTTTCATCTGAAAGGAGACAAAATCATTAAGAGGAAGTAGGAAGCATTGGACAGAATTGTCTTGCAAAGCCTTTATCTTCTGTAGTTCCTCCAAAATGCCCCATGTGCATGTGGTCATGGGGATTCTCTTCCACCTTAACAAGGAGCCTTCATGATGCCATTTACAGATTCCTTAATTTTTAGGATTCACAATGTTCTTGGAAATATTACCTTTACATTTTTTGTGCAGTAAGACAGCACAAGCTCTCTAGTTACTTAGAGAGATCCTTGTGTCATAGCAGAGCAGAGAGATCAAAAGGCAGTATGGCTGATGAAATAGTAGGGCGACCCTTTTATCCCAGTCCATCTCTCCACTTTGGTGTTATACCTTCAGTGCCTTTTGAGACGTGTTAGATGTAGATACTGAGTGGTGATTATGATAATTTGGAGTTACTAAACACAGCAGCTATATTCTTCAAACACCAGAAAGCAAATTGTCAGAATAAATCAGAATGTAAATGTGGGTTATTTTTTTCCTATCTCCATCTATGACTTCTACTAAAATCTTTGTTAGCAAAGGGAATATATTTACTATTTTATACTATTTTAATAAGTTTACCACTGTTCCTTAAAATAGTCCTGAAAAAAAAAACAAAAAAAACCCCACTAACAACTGCTTTGTATAGCAATGTTTTCAGACAGACGTGCATATCTTCAAATTAAGTCAATATTAAGTATTTGTGAAAGATCACTTTACTGCCTAATGAAATTGTCAGTTTTCTTTAGGCATATAGGCAAAACAAACTAAAAGCACTAGGACTGTTTTTCCTAAGCTTGGGCATCTTTTGGAGGTTCCCAGATCAGTAGGATTGGGGTTTGGTTACCATGTGCTACAGATCGAGCAGCAGGCAGAGCACAGAGAATGAATTGTTTTGTCTTCTGAGTAACAGTTGATCTTTCTGCAGTTATGATTCAAGCAGGGGCTTATGCATTAAATTTAAGGATTTTATTACCAACTTTAAAAAGGAAAAATTAACATTTCAGAAAATGTCTAGGAAGAAAATTGCTTCCTAGCAGACATGATACATTTTAATTCCCACCATGGGGTTTTAGAAAAAATGAGTACCTCTGTAGATTCAGTGCTTTTTTCTTTCTTTTATGTCTACCACGCCACACAGATCTCTGCTGAATCACAGAGCCTATGTACTTCTCTAGGACACGTCACTTCTCAAAATGCATGTTTAAAATTACTGATTAGAAATCTATGCACCTTAGATAAGAGTACAGCATTAGTAAAAATGTTTTAAACTCTGTTTTCCCATTTACACGTAATCCATGAGCAGGCAGTAGTACCACACAATTACTTCCACAGAAATATTTACTGTTCAATGTTTTTGGTTAAGTGCCTTGTGGCAAGAAATTTCAGTTGGATGTTTGGAACTATTCATTTCTGAATTTTCTGTATGTGAATTCCATATACAAATTGTTTAATCAGTTGAATTACTTGTTATCCTTGTGATGTTAGAATGAACTAGCACTTTTTATTAATCTCTGCTTTCCTGCAGAAATATTGTTGTTTGAGTGTTCAGTTTGGGATGGAAAACTCCAACCATTCCTGTGGGAGGAAACTGGTGCCAACAACTTTAACCCACCTGAATGTTCTTGAGAAGTGAGACTATTCAAACCAAAACTCCATTTGTAAATCACCAAGATGCTCCACTATGATCTTCCTGTTCCTAAATCCCTTGTGTTATACCCCAGGGTTAGGAACTGAGCTTGCAAAATGCTCACTACAGTTGAATTTCCATAAATACCAATCGTGTCAACAGCAGCAATTTTTACAGGTCTTGAAATTGATGTCGATTTTTGATATATTTTTTTTTCTCATCCGGTTTTATTAATTGGAAAATTTGAATCAGATATTAGGAGTTATTGGAAGGCATCTCACTGTTTCAGGGTTTAATTATCTGAACATTTAAATAAAGATAATAGCAGACTACAGCTGTATCAGTAGAATCTCTGGACATAAATTTAAAAACAGGATTTGCCTCAGTGCCATATAGTGAACACAAAAAGGAGAGAGCAAATATAGTCTAAGAACCATGACTGGTATAGAGTGTAATTTTAGTGCGTAGGTCAATTAGTATGTGCAAGGTAGTAGCAAAGTAATAATTTAAACAGTAAAGCTGTGAAATGGGAAAATGAGAAAAGTAAGACATTTGTTAGCTAGATGAATAGAGAAAAATAAAGTTCATTTCTTTATGCTTTGTCAAAATATGCTTAATTAGAATGAAGCATTTAATTGTAGTTCTTTAACAGGAAAATATTGTTGCAGCCATAATTTCACAGTCAGAGTTTGATGGAATGGAAAATACTCCCACTTTTTGTATAACTCTGTTTGTATTCTCTTTCCAAATTGGCACTGGATACTGCAAATTCTTAATGCCCTGAGACCAAGCTTCAAAAAGAGGAATATTACATATGTAGCCCAAAGGAAGCAGCAGCTGTATAAATATTAGCTTCTCTTGCAGCACAGGATTTGTAGATCGCTCTTTAACTTCAACAGCAAAAACAGAGTGCATTTTACCATGGAATTTATGGGTGACTGCTTTTATCAGTGCTCAGTTGAATTCCCTTACTAGTCAATAGTTCCTCTAATTTGAATGGCATTTCAAAATTTATTTATTAGAGAAACATTTTAACTTACTTCTAAAGTGTCACGTGGTGCTTAATGGGAGATACTGAAAAGTCATGTACGTAATTTTCAGGTCTAGTAGCAAGTGTTGGGGTGAGATTATCTTACACCTGTGTGTGCCCTGAGCTATTGTTAATCCTGTTGAGTAGTCCCTGGCTTGCCTGTTTGTGCTGATGCAATAGTGATAAGAGAGGGTAAAACTGTAGAATATCTATTTGCCCTTGAGGAAATGGTATGTAGGAATAAACTGTATCTAGGATTATAGGTGTGAGATCTCCAGAGACACTTTGCGTATCAAGTGATGTAGCTGCTGAAACCTTGGGGAAGATGCAAGAACTGTTCTTCCCCCTGAATCACAGGGGTAAGAGGGAAGTCAGCCCTCACGCTTTCCCTCCCTGCGCACCGCATCGCCTCTGGAACGGTGCGTTAGGCTCTGTTTGGGCTGTGAAAATGATCCTTTTCCCTTGGCAACCCACTATGTCTCAGCTGAGATGAAGGTGTGAAATGACTATCAGCTACGATTGTTATACACCAGAGTGTCGGCCTGGAGTTTGGGTTCTCTAAGGACACATTGGCAGATGGGGAACATCTTCCAGAATCTCTCTGTTCCAGTTTCTGTGGCTCTTCCATATCGCAATGCACAGAAGAAAGTCTTATCAAAATGGCACATCTGAGCTGTTTTTAATTTGCATGTAGATGTTTCTGTGTAGTTCACCCAGTGTGAAGACAGTTTCTGATATAATAGAGCTGAGTGTGAACCCCATGCATTTGCCTAGAATAAATTTGAGGCAGCCCATGCAAGATTTTTATTTTCTACCTGAAATTACCCTGGTAGTTATTTCTTGCTTAAGTTACATCTCCATAGATACCTATTTAAAGTGCCTGAAAGATCCTGATTTTCCTTTTTTCTCTGTAGTTTCAAAGGCCACATGATTATTCACCTCCTTTTCGATTTGGAACTGTCCCAAATGGCAGCACAGAAAGGAATATCAGAAACAACTATCCTGATATGCACCTCTACATGACAAAATATAATCAAAAAGGAGTTGAAGATGCCTTGGTCAGCTTGAAAACTGGGTAAGCTTCTTCCATGGGTTTTAAGGAATACGTAGACTACAAAAACTGAAAAATATTGATCTGTACTTACTGTGATACTGAATAGTGATCTCAGGCATCGTGTGTAGTTCATGGCTTTTTTTTTTTCCTTCCAACCACATTGTACTGATTTCAGAAAAGAAAATGAGCGTCCATGATTTGTATGACTACTTTTAAATTGCATGGATGCTTTGATGTCCTGTATACTATGCATTCAAAGTGCAAAAAGAGTATTACTCAAATCTAAATAGAGGGGATACAGCAACACCTGCATTTGGGATTTAGGTTGAAACAGATAATTATTTGTACAGACCTGGTGTATCTTTTCAGGACTATTCCATAGGAATGTGTTTTCAGAGGGCACGTTTCTGTCTAAGCTTGTTTGTCTGCTGAGTGTGCAACAACTGAGATTTCTTTTCATCTTTCTGTCCTTTCTGTCACTCTTTGGCCCTATATATTTGCTGTCAGATCTGAAGTCTCGGCTTTGATCTCCACATGATGGAGACCAGATGATATAGTCTCATATGTAATCTAATCTTGCTTCTGATAATGTTGGCAAACCAGCCCACTCTACTTGGCTGCTCAAGAAGACTGAATTTTCGTTTTAATTCTGAAAAAGTTTGAATGCAACTCACTGCTTGTGTCTGGATGAGAGGAGTATGTTAGTTTTGGTAATCTTTTCTAAACATACAGGCTTGATAATAGCCTGTGTATTTATTTTAATAATACATTTATATTGTTGGTTTTTTTAAATGACAAGACTAAGTTGCCACTAGCAGATTAAGTCCATCTGCTCCCATGACTGTTTGGTGGCTCAACTATTATTTACAGTGAGCACAGGAAACATTTCTTCCTGTACTAAATTAGCTGTTACTTTTGATCCTTACTGTGGGAACTGTCTGTTCTTTTAATTTCTACTCTCCTTCCCCCAAATATGTTGTAGATTTTAATATATTTCTTCTGTGGGGGAAAGAAAAAAAAAAATTGAACTCACTAAACCTTTCCGTAGAGTTGAGTTGAGGTTCTCTTCCTTAAAAAGTTATCCTTTCTATGGATTTCTTTTCCACAGTGTCCATGTAACCAACTGGATTCCTTATATCATCATTTCTATAGGTATTCTCAAATGGCATTTCTCAAGCACAGTTTGTTGTATCTAAGATAAACACGTAACTTAAGGTGCACTTGGCGTCACCCAAGATACTCCACACTGGGGACAGAGTCAAGCTCATGCAAATTTTATTTCCTAGGAGACATCTGCATTGTGCACTGTATTTACTGAGCTGAATGCTACTGTTTCTGCTGTGAGTTTTTGAATAGGCAGCTCTCCTTAAATTCAACCATTTCTTGAGCTTATTTAGAGGGATGGTTTATTTATGGGATATATGTTCCTTGTACTTTTCACCTACCATTTGTGGTACTGAAAACCCTGAAAAACCACTTTTAGCTTTAAAATAAGGCCACCTGACAGACACTGAAGCAGGAAAGGGGGGAGCTGCCTGGCTGCAGGGAGTTCAGGACATTCACTAAAACTGGGGCTGGCTGCTCCTCTGCCAGCTGCTGCTCTTCCTCAAATGCTTTAGTACTTTTGACAATATAAGCTATCCATATATTTCTATTTAATAGATTTTCTTTCAACTGGAGCCTCTTCCCTCTTCTAAGTGACTTCTTAGAGTGGGCACCTCCAGGTGACTACCTTGCTCCTTCTGACATTTCTCCAGCAAGTGGTGCCAATAAGCTGCCATGTATGGTGTTTTTTGGATCAGTGTAAGCAACTCTTAGATACTTGCTGCACTCCTTTGTATTTTGTCTGATAGAACCTACAGGAGGATTAAACAGCATACTGGGAAGTGTCACTTTGGGTGAGCTTATATCACAATTTTGGACATTTCAGCAGGAGAGTGGTGTCAAATGGGCTTAAGTATTTCCCCCCTTCAGTCTCTGCCACGCAAGAACTGTAGAAACTCCCCAGTGAATGTGGTAGTTGTAGGCAGTAAGCTCAGTTACAGATCAGACAGCATGACTTCATCTTTTTTTTGCCTTTTGGTGACCAAACCAATCTGTCTGTGTGATCATCCTGTCACTTACACCTTTGTCCCACCTGGCTTTTCCATTTTGCCAAGAAATTTGGTGAGGATGTGATGGCGGTTCCTATGGCTGGCACCTCAGCTCTGTGGAGCTAAAAGTGTCCTGGTTGAAAATGATGAGCCTGTATAATACGAGACTGTATTAATTTGTATTCCCTGTCCAAGAAAAGACATGTAAAGATATCACAACTGCCTGCCTCTTCTCTTTGTCCAGGCTTATATTCTTCAAAATTTTTCCCCTTTTCTTTCTCAGTATACATAGCTGTTTCCTCCTTTCTGACATTTCCCCAACTTCTGCCTTTCCCCATCATGATTTTTTTTTTACCAGATTGCAGATTGTTTCATGCTTTCATGTGAAGTTTGCCTTCATCCTTCTCTACGCTAGATCAAGCTGACTTTTTCCCTACTTCAGTTGAGCCTATGAGTGTGAATACTTTGTGCCCCAAGGAGCCATGTCACTACTGCTCTTCTGAGGATGACATCTCTCCTTTCACAAACTGCTTCTTTTTCCTAGCAAATACACCTTTTCTGTTTTCTTCTTCAGTATGTATGAGTTCTGATTACTGCTATTTCATTTGTTTTCATCTTTATCTCTTGTCAGAGCTATCCTTTTATCTGTTTTTCTCTTTTCATCAGTATCATTGGTAGCATACAAAAAGCAATTTTTCTTCCATGTCATGCAGGCTGCTGCTTCTGCACAGCTTATTGAAGATGAACTATTTGGTAATTATAGAGTCATAGACCACAGACCTGGTAAGGACTTGCAAAGGTTGTTTGCTTGATGTTGTCTGCTGCAAGTCAAAATAAACAGTGCCTGTGTTCCTCCGGAAGAATTCTGCATCTGTTGTAATCCTTTGCTGTTGAATCTACTCAGAGGTGTTGAGTTTGCATGTAGCACTTCCCCATGTATGAGTGTTCTGCTGCTATCAAACTCTCAAGAGAAGAGCAATGGCCATACCCTCAGTGCTGTCAGTGTTCTCACCCTTGCCTTGGCACATTGACACCGGTGCACTGACTAGAATTTAACTGCTAATGGCTGAAGCAACAAAATTTCATCGGTAGATTATTTTCCTACGGTAGAGATAAAATGGGAAGCTTTCATTAGAATCCATCTAATTTTTCCTTTATTTCCTTAATTCTCCTGGAAATTAGACTGCAGCGTATATCTTGTTTCAAGCAAAGTGATGGCCTCTCTAACTGGTGCTGTGTTCTGAGAGCATATCGACGTGAGGACTTTATTTCAGCTTCACTGCAAAAAGCTGTCAATATAACTCGTTTCAGGAAAATTGCAGTAATGAATCCCTTGTGTTCCATGGGCAGGCAGTCTCTTGCTATACAACTGCAGACCCCTTCGCTGTCGTTAATGTTTTTCAGTTTTTATTTGCAGCCACAGCTGTGAATATATACTCAAGGATTTGATGCTAAAGTTTCCTTAGGTTTCCATCTGCCTTCCTGTTAATGACTGCAATGTTTGCTGATTTATATAATCAAGGTTAGTGCCTTATTCCCTCATTGTCTGTGGCATATTGGCAGAAACACAAAGCTTTTTATAAACAATGCCATGGTGACAGCAATTCTGCAGGGTTCTTGGCAGGTATGGCCTTACATACAGAGGATTATCAAACTTGAACAGTCCAGAGAAGATATTTCTGACCTGCAGATGTGCCCTGAGCTGTTAGCTGCTTTGATAGGAACAGATGAGTCGTCTGTTCCATTCCTCAACATTTTTAATGACATCATTATTATGATGCTAGAAGAAACACCTGAAAGCAGCTAATCCAACAGTGTGAGTGGCACTTCCTCACACAAGTTATTCCCCTCACTCCTACAAACGTTCTCATCTGAAAAAAGCAATTTTAAAAAAAATTTTAAGCATGCAGTGTTTCTAAGCAGAGAAAGTGCAAGAGAAAACCCCGGAAGGCTCTGATGTCCTTTTAACCCTCAGTCCCTAAGCTTATTGGCCTGAATTGGATTTTTGTTGTGTTTATAATGCTTATAAATCGTGTCCAGTTCACAGCTCTGCACGCTGTTCTTCACTGAACAGATACAGGCTGGTCAGAGGCTGTGCTGGCAGCTTCCACAGTGTGTTGCAGGCACAACCAGGAGGCAAACATCTCCATTTCTGTCAGCTGGAACACAGTTCAGATTGTGCCCAGCAGGTCTTTCTCTTAATTGCATCTGCCAATTAAAGTGGTGGTGTATCTAAAATAGAAATAATAAAAAAGAAAGCCTTGTCTTTTGGTCAGCCAGCTGACATCTTCACTTGGATGCAAGCCCAAGTTTTTTTCCCATTGTTTTCAATTTATTTTGCAGAAATAATTGTTATCAATTTTTCATCAAAGGAAAAACTTCCTAGTTTTTATTCTCTCTGTTCCTTTTCACCTAAAAAGAGGAGTAAAGCAATGAGAGAAATTACCAATTTGAGAGAAGAGTTGTATCTGTGAATTTTTGATAAAAAGCACAAGCTCTTCACCGTTCTTGTGGGCAGGTAATAACAGCTTGCAACCGGAACTCAAAGAAATGCTCAGCAGACATAAATTTTTAAACTTTTAATCTAGTGGCTGAATATTTTCTGACTGGATCTGATTGACAACACCTTACAGTATTTGCAATTGAGACTCTTCACACTTTTCTTTGACTTTTACTACAAATATAGCGATTCTTTTAGCTAATTTGGGAGAAATTACTAAATGTGGTTGAGATGGAGGAAAAACAGGAAAGGTCAGTTGTTGAAAAGTCAAAATATTATAGTAGTCTGGTAGGACCTAATGTGCTGTTCCAGAGGACTCTAGGGGCTGAGGTTGGTTCTTACAGGTTTGGATGAAGAGGAAAACAATAAAATTGGAATGTAGATGGTTATTAGGATCTGAGAAAGCACTCACTGAAATGTCTGTGGAA